GCTTACTCAAATCACCTAACGACCAATATTTTTCAAAAATATTCTGCCTTTGAGTCTCATCAATTTTTGAAGTACATTTTTGTTTACACTGATTACCGCAGGGAGGACGCAATTTTCTTACATCRTATTTCTTTTTACTTTTAGAACCTGAAGTATAGCTTTATCCAGAATTTCGGTTAATTTTTGCTTTTTTGATAGTCCATTGATTAGAATTCACCTTTCTCTTTTTTCCTTTTCTCATAGTTTAAAGTTCTGCATTGGAATTTATTTCTGTACGTTTATTGCTATTATTATTTATTCCTGCATTTTCATCATTTTGTTCATACATAACTGCATGGTTATCAATAGAACCGGACGAAGATGAGGAATCGCTGGTTGAAGGTCTATTGATCTTTTTTGGTGATAGAATTTTGCAATATTACTCCGGGTCTACATCTGAATCATAAAAATCACTGCAGTTACTGTGTAATGGTGAAATTTCGTAGTTTACTGATAATTTTTTTCGGGCACTACACTCTTCATCTCGCTCACGTAAGACTAATAACTTACCAGAAGGTTCTAAATAAAATATAAATTATTACCTAATTAATATTGAGTTCACATTAAACCTAATAAAAAAACCATTTATTACTATTCATCAGTGTCGATATTTCATTKCCTTGCATTGATTTTTCTTCCCTTTGTTTCTCAAGAAGTGTMCTACAATGTGGAATATCATTTAAAGCACACATATCACGTAAGCCTAATGGATTATCATTAGATCCTAATAACAATTCAAATTATTGTGTAATTAATATTGAGTTCGCATTAAACCTAATAAAAAAAAAAGTTTATTACTATTTATCAGTGTCAATATCTCATTGCCTTGCATTGATGTTTCCTCCCTTGGTTTTTCAAGAAGTGTACTAYAATGAGGAATATCATCTGGAGCACACATATCACGTAAGCCTAATGGATTATCATTAGATCCTAATTAAAATTAAAATTATTGTGTGATTAAAATTGAGTTCACTTTAAACCGAATAGTTTATTTTTATTTCTATTTATCCATGTCGATATCTCTTTGTCAGGCATTGATTTTTTTGCTATTTGTGTTTGAAAAAGATTCATYATACTTTTAGCCCGACTAGACATTGAAAGAATATTTTTTTAAATATTTTCAACTTGTAAATACTGAAACATAACTCGTGTCACAACTTAAAATTGTTTAATAAAATTTATTAAAAACTGTCATAACTCGAAATACAACTGAAGAAGGATGATAGCTAATTAATTATTAACGTCACAACTAAAAATAAAATTGTATAAATCAAATAACATTTAAAATTACCTTAATTAATAACGACATAAGTCGTAATAATACTTTAAGAATAATATAATATTTTAAATTACCTACATTAATAACGACACAAGTCGAAATAATGCTTTAAAAGTAATATCATAATAAAATATTATTTTAAATTACCTTAGTGAATAATGACACAAGTCGAAATAGTCCTATTATGGAAAAAAATTTCATCAACAATTCTGGCACAAGACGAAATAGTACACTTTTAACAAAATAATAATAAACGTTCACTTGAAGTGGTAAAATGCAAGTGAGATATGACACTTTTGATAATATTGTATCAGCAAAATGTTACGCTATCAAAAGTTACATTTGCGCCATCTGTTGGTTAAAAATAGGAATAGACTTGTCAACTTGTGACGTTTTTGTACAATAAAAGTATGATATTTACCTAACGTATGCCATGATAAGATGTAAAATCACATTTTTTCAGTTGTGTCACTTTTTAAGCGGGAGTGCGGTGACCAAATTTTATGAAAATATGATAAAATTTGATCAAAAGTAGTTACATTTATACATTTTAAAATAGACATACAATTGGTGGTGGTAGTGATGGTATTTCGGATATCGTTCGACTTCCGAGAAAAAGCCACCACCCTCAGTAGCTAAGCTCCGAGGATGGTGGCCTTGGACTAAAAAATTATTGCTAATTAAGTTTTGTTTGGAGTCCGTCCGATATTGTTGGTGATCAGATTGGCTCAATGGACTCTTGGC